AATAATTAATATATATACATACAATAAAAATTTGTATATACAATTGTAATATCATGTATGTAAATCATAAATGTGCATACTAAACATAAAACACAACATATATAGTATATGATAGATAAATATTGTATATATATATATATATATATATATATATATATATATATATATATACACGTATGTATGTGTGTGTATGCATATGCGTGTTTGTTTGTATGCACGTATGTATGTATGCATGTTTGTATGAATGTTTGTTTGTACGTATCCATACATGCATCCATACCGCCAGATTTAATTGGAATTCATTTAAATTTATCAGAGAACATAAACCTTGAAATTCTTGCCTCTAATCTTAACGCATTCATGTTTACATGAAACTTTGCAGAAAGAGCAGAAAGACACAGACACACACACCCACACACACACACTCACTCATCCATTTTTAAACACATAGACCCAACATGCGCACATACAAACACTACCAGACTAAAAGAATTTTTTAGGCCTGGATAAATGAATTTATCTACTTCTTCCAGACAGTTATGTATGTGTGTGTGTATTGTGTATGTACGTGTCGATATGAATGTATGTATGTGTGTATGTATGAATGTGTGTGTGTATTTGTGTGTGTATGTGTATCTGTATTTTATACTATATTCAACAAAACCAAAATCTTAAGCATCATATCTTTATAGCAAATTAATAGCAGTTGATTAAATTCAATCATGCATGTATGTGTGAATGTGTAAAATGTACAATCATAACCAACATCAATATCATTATACTCGTCTCGTCATCTCCACCACCATCAGTATCAGCATAGCAAGATGGTAAAACAACAATAGAAAAAAATACATATATAAAAATGTACCATGATCATAGAGCTGATTAAACAACAAACAAACAAACAAACAAACAAACAAACAAACAAACAAACAAACAAACAAACAAACAAACAAACAACAACAACAACAGATAAGTAACTCATATACATTATATTTAATGACGTCACCATCACCACATCATCATAATTATCACCAACAACATCATCATCATTAACATCATCATCATCTTCAGAAACAACTGCAACAACAAATCAACTGCAACAACACTTCAACTGCAACAATAAATCAACTGCAAAGCAACAAGTCAACAACTACTACTGATGATGATGTGGTAGTTTAGCGTGTTGATGATGTTGCAGTTGATGCCTATATGGACTGCTGTTGTTGTTGCCATCTGTGGAGGATTTGAATCCTGAAACACCGGCGCCTCCACCAGCTGATGAAAATGTTGCTGATGAAGTTGCTGCTGCTGCTGCTGCTGTTGTTGGCTGAGCCATAGGTGTCTCAACAAAATGAGGATTTGTTACTTCCATTTCTTCTTCCTGGGTGATGATGGTGACGAGAACGACGACGATGACGATAAAGATTATGATGATAAAGATCACGATGAAAATGCTGATGATGTGAATGATGTAGATGACGATAAGTGTTAACAGTAAATGAGTTACTAACAGTATTGGCCAATCCAGGACATTCATAAACAGTGTCGTCGTCGTCGATGACTTCTTCATCGGTCGAATTACCAGAACCATTTTTGTTGTCATAGTCATTGCCTCTGTTTTTGAATAATTAATTTTGTTGTTGTTGTTGTGGTGGTGGTCGTGGTGGTGGTTGTTGTTGTTGTCATTGCAATTGTTTATGTCATTGTAGTTAGGGGCAAAATAAAAAAAAATTGTTAAAAATAAACAGGCAACAAACAAGAAACACTAAAAAAAATACAACGAGAAGAAATGTACACAGTCAACCATAAAAAATCACATGCACACACACACACATAGAGAGAAAGAGAAACAGACATACACACAGGCAGACACACAAACATAACAATGCAGAAACAAAAGCACAAACAACCAACTTCTCATTGGCAAGCATCTGCTGCTTCTGGTACTGGTAATGATACATCTGAGCACTGTAGGCCAGCTTGCGGTCCCCATTTGCTGGGCCCACAGGAGCCCTCTGGTCCCCGTAGAATGTTTGGTAGGGTACCTCTTGCTCCTGTACCCTTTTTGACCTAGCCAAAATAAAATATATGGCACAGTACATATGATTAAATAATGGGATGATGACAGTAATTAAAGATGATGAAGTAAACATGTTCCTAACCTGCACATGCAAACAATAGTGATGACAATAGCTATGATGAGCACCAGAGATATACTTGAAAGCACCCCTGAATGACGATGAAGTGATAAGAGTGACAGAATGATTTTTTAGAATATGATAACAACTATGAAGAAGAGTAATCTGACAAAGTTTTTTGGTGACTAACAACAATTCAAAATGGTGGTGTGAATCAATTAGAGAAAATAAAACAAAATGATAATTCTGATAACACTGATAATATCGACAATGACATAGACAATAAAGATGATGATTACAACGGCAATGACAGCTCTGCAACTACAAATGATACCTATCAATATGATATCCCAGTAACGATCCAAGATACTTCTCTCATTATTATCCTGTCTTAGATATCTAACATCATCATAATCACTTTTTTTCAACCCAATGACGTCGTGGTTAACAAATCCTTTTGGTGATAGCACCGATGACGAAGATGATGATATAGTCCTCATTCCATTGTTATTGTCGTTGACTTTAGTGTAAGTTGTTTCGACTTTTATGACTTGAAAATTTAATTGTGAATAATTTTTCAGATCAAGGCCAACCGAGAAGAAAACATTCGTAGCTACAAAATGTTTACCATTGAAGTAAATATTCACAATTGAGAAATTAAATTAGTTTATTATAATAAATTATTAATTTATTTATACTCTGTTGTTGATCTGCATTACTGCTGCCATCACCGGCCTCTCCTTCTGAATATTCATGAGGTAATTTGAAGTGCTCTGTAATTTGTAAAATTATTTATAATGAAAAAAAATGTCATATAAAATTAAAACTTTCTTTATTTATAATTTTTTTTATAAAAATAAAAAATCAATATCTTACTTAAAAAATTATCAATGAATCATAATTTAAGTTTATCATTTTATAATTATTTATCTTTATCAATGATTATCTTTGTTACAAATTCATCGAGGATGTAGCAACTAGCTAGACAAATAGCAAACGTTTAATTAATTCAAATAAAAAATTCAAAATACTTTCCTAAAAAAATGGACTTTTAATAAATAAAAATTAAAAAAATTAAAAGAACTAAAAAAGCAATGATTTGTTTTACTTGGCCTCTCAAGTTTCCTACAATTTCCATACTCATCAAGATAGTAGTGAGCCAAACATCCACCACAATCAGTCGGAGCTCTGGAGCATATCCTGTTGAAGTTGGATCTGCAGTGCTCTATGCATTCCAACTTCTCTATCAATTCATCTGCAATTTTTGGCCATTAGATTTTTATATTTGGTAAATATATAATTTTATTTTAGAAAACCTTTAATTAAATATGCAATCATTTGGTTTGGTTTGTGTGTGCAAATCCTATCCAAATACAAGAAAAAGACAACAAATTTCAGATAAACAACTTTACTATAAACTGAAAAGAATCAGCCATTAGTTAGAGAAATATCAATACCCCAAATAGGACAAATTTAATTAATATGAATTCAGATAAATAAAAAAATTAAAATTAGCAAAATATTTTAAATTTAAAAAACACTGGTGACATATTTTATTAAGCAACATCCGTTTTTACCTGTAGTAAGTGAATTCTGGTAGGCCAAGAAGCACGGAATGATAGTCAGCAAAAAAGAGCAACTAATAAGAAACATTTTACCCTAATTTGCTCAGTACATATCAACGATTTAACTAGGAAAACTAAGAAAAATACAAAAAATCTATTTGAAAAACAAAAGATGGCGACGAGGTGTCTATATATAAATTAGCGTGGGTGTAGTCAGCCAGGGAATCTATTTTTGCCAGAGTTATTTTTTGGACAAAATTATTTTAACATATTATTTATATGATTGAAATTTCACCATATTCTATTTAATTAAAACATTTTTGTTTAATTCATTGCCTTAAAACGACATTAACTATTTTTTTGATCAATGAAAATGTGAAAATAGAGCCCAAAACCTTGTATACATGTACATATATATAGTTAATTTTGTTTTATTACATATGCATGCTATCTTGAAGATCTGAAATAAAAAATTATTTTATTAAAAATGTTTAAAATTATTAAAATAATACACGAAATTCATTAATTTTTAATGTGGTAAAGCAGTAGTGTTATTAAGGTGTACTAAATATTATTGTAATAACAAAATGCACTCTCCATGTTACCTATATCCTTTCACCTGTATTGGCACAATATAAACATTTAATTACATTTAGAGATTTAATGATATATTTCAATTTTCAACATTAAGTTAAAATTTAAATTAAATTTTTAATTTCACCACAATGCTCAGCGACAAAAGTCGAAGTTTCTCCGATTCGGAATCGGAGTTGTTGATGGCCTCGACGGCGACGCTGAACGCAAAGAAGAGAGGACTGACCAACGAAGTCAAATTTTTAGGCAGAAGTTGTGCCAACTTTTTTTGCAATTCAAACGATGGAACGGTGATGAGGAGAAGTGAAGTAACGTGGGCCAAATTCCTCTTTTTCTACTTTTGCTTCTTTTCTGCCCTCGTGGTGTACTTGAGTTGCGCGTTCGGATTTTATTTGGAGGTTTACGTGGATAAGAATCATCCCCGTACGCAAGCCTGGGATACCCTGCTGATGGAGTGGCCGAGTTTGGCGATTAGACCGATGCCGGATTATCGAACATCTATGATCCGGTTCGTACAGGGACAGCCTTCCAGTTACAAACCGTTCGCAGATCACATACAAGCCTTTTTACTCCATTACGAAAATGCTGCCCAGGAATCTGAAGCCCTGATTGATTGCAGTAATTTGGGAAATGATCAGAATCGTAACAAATTCAAGGCATGTCGTTTCGTCATTGACACACTCGGTCAGAACTGCACCTGGCAGAGAGATTACGGCTATGATGAGGGCAAGCCTTGCGTTTTACTGAAATTAACGAAAATATTTGGCTGGGAACCTCCAGCTTTTGGTTTCAACGAAACCGTCCCTGAGTTAGGAGATCGCTTCAGTCCAGATACGATAGGAGTCACGTGCGAGGGGGAAAACCCAATTGATCAGGAAAATATTGGACCACTTGCTTATTATCCACCAAAGGGTTTTCCAAAATATTATTACCCCTATTTGAACCAGGAAGGTTACAGGGCACCTCTGGTTATGGTTCAATTTCTGAAGCCAACGAATGGAATAGTTATAAACGTCTGGTGCAAGGCCTGGATTAAAGATTTGGTTCATCATCGATACGATAACTTGGGCAGCATACATTTCGAAATGCTTATTGATTGATTGGTTGGTTGGTTGATTGATTGATTGGCTGTTTGATTTATTTATTAATTGGTACGACGGTCTAATACATTATTTTTTAATGTGCGAATGATTGATTGAGAATTTACTTCTAGTGACTGAACAAACCAGAAAATAGATACAAATGAATATGCGAGTAGGTGACCTCAAGTACGTTTCGTTGTTTGATTACTCCATTAACTGAACTCAAATGTAAAAAGTTTTTTTTCGATATTTTCCGTGTTATCAATAAAAATGTCAATATATCTGTTTACATTGAGTTGAAATGTTTCGGACGACGAGCATAACATACGTCAGGTCAACTCTAAGTAGAAAAATGTTGAAGTTTTATAAAGGGCAAAAAAAGTTAACACGCACACTTCTTGCTATGGTTCAAAACTTAATTGCTCTATTGGCGGATCTATCTACATGGCCTTGACCCGATAGTACTCCTTATCGTTGATGATCAATTTTTAAATTTTAGAAATAAGGAAAAACAGAAAAAGAAAGAGAGAGAGAGAGAGAGAGAGAGTACCAAAAAACTCAGTTATAATTCATTCATAAGAATGTTTGAAACGAACCTATCGTAACAGCAAAAATGATGAGTATACAAGACAAATTTTTTTATACAATTTTTTATTTTTCTTCCTCAAAAATAAAAACACATAACAAGCAGACGCACATGAGTGTGCACAGGAGAATTGCAAAAAAAGGATTGTAGTAGTATTAGAAGGTGCGCCAAAAAATAAATTAACGTGATTATACACATGAATAAATAAATAAATAAAACAATAAATAAATTAATTAATTATAGAAAAGAACGAAATTAAATTAACGAACAAAAAATCCGCAAATGAAATAACACAAAACTTCAGTATAGATAAGTTCATAAACGTAGTATCTTTACTAAGTTATTTTCATATATAAAGATGACTCTTAACGTGCATTAGTTTCAAAATCTGTGGTTTTTGGTATAAAAAATGCTTAAACCAGTTTGCACGCACATACAGACACAATCACGCAAACTAAGCTGCATCATACAGATAAAAAAATTACAATCATACAAACATATCTATGCGTTTTCATAGATATTTATGTATTTAAAAGATGAACGAATATTTAGAAAAATTGAAAAACACGTAGAAGAAATCTAGCGCTATTAAATGGAATTGTAGAATTTAAGAAAAAAAAATACAGTTCATACATTTATGCTAATAATGGGTTTAAAAGTAAAATGTACAGTATACGTGTTTATATACACATACACACATTCATACATACATACATATGTGCAAACATACAAAACATAAACATTCATGAAAAATGTAAATCATTTACATAATTAAATACACTCATACACAGATACATACATACATTGGTAGGTATTATATACAACTAAATTTTACAGACATACAGCTTTAACTCATCACATAAAATTTACCAAAAAAAAGATCTTTATATAATTAAGTTTAATTTTTATTTAATTTAATAATTTTGCGCGCACACACACACAAACACACATAAACATACGCACACACACACACACATACACGCACACAGACACACGCATATAAGAAACACACAAAATACATTTTTGTAAGCATCATTTTAATTTGAAGAACATTGATTTTCCAAAAATATAAATGTAATAATGTAGACGCAACATCAATACGGATTGAATTAATTCGCTCAATAACTCACTCACTCTCTCTTTCTCTCTCTCTATATATATATATATACATACATATTATTGGCTAATACAAGCATATATTAAAATATAACCAGATAACTATGAATTATATACAAAGATAACTTGCTTATACTGTGCATAAAAAATATTTTTATACTGTATATTTATGTCTAAACAGAAAAACACACACACACCTACACACATATATATATACACACACACACACACATATATACACACACTCTTATACACATACGTACATATACGTTAAAGCATTTGAAAAGCGCTTTGTCAGATAAAAAGATAGAAAAATTACGTTAAGTATATTAATATATATTTAAAAATAAATAAATATATATATTTATCTATATTTATATATATATATATATATATATATCACTACGCAAATTTGCTCTCTCTCTTTCTCTCTCTATAGATATTTATACAAAAAAATATTATACACGGTAAAAAAATTAAATATGAAATTGAAAATTGGATACTGACAAGATATTTAAAGTGCATTTAGAATTTGCGCACACACACTCACACACATATACTCACAAATACACACACACATATAATCACACACGTACACACATATACTCACAAATACACACACGCATATACTCACAAATACACACACACGCACACATATAAGCTAGAATAGGGGTGGGCAAACTTTTTTGCTGTTGCCGCATATGTACTTAAAAAGCAAATTTATTCGACTCGACGGAGAATTTCGCCCTTTTTCTTTGGGGAACAAGGCCTCGCGGGCCGCACAAAATACCTTTGTGGGCCGCATGTGGCCCACGGGCCGGGCCGTAGTTTGCCCACCCCTGAGCTAGAACCAAACACAAATAGTTACGATGTAAAATGAGAACATACATATGCAAGCGCGTACATGTTTATACATATATTTATTTATATATATATATATAATTATTAAATTTAATTTATTACTTTGTTTAATTATTATTATCTATTATTAAAAATTATACTATTAAAAATCCACTTTGAATTTATAAATGCAGCTGTTTAAAGATATCACAGCATTGCTTGCATTGTTCAATTTGCAATTGAGTTTTTCATCATCATCATAAACTCATGAAAAAGTCAACTGCAGATGGAACAACGCATCCAATGTTGCTATATCTTTAAACAACTGCTATAAGATATTCTCAACCCTATTTATATATATATATATATATATATATATATGTGTGTGTGTGTGTGTGTGTGTGTGTTAATAAGTTACCTCTGCAGCAGTTTGGAATAAGATGACGATGATGGTGACTAGATGACTACAATGATGATGATGGTGGAGATGATCATTATTATTATTATTATTATTACCACCAATTTACTCCTTAATGTTTTACTGATTCTGAGATAATGATGATGATGATGAAATTAATGATGATGATGATGGCGATGATGAGGTAATGATGATGATGACGGTATGATACCAATTAACGGTGGAATATTAATCATCATTAAATGTTTGAGTATTTTTGTATCATGATGTCTTGGTGTGAGTTTATATATATATATATATATATATATATATATATATATATATATATATATATATATATATATATATATATATAAGCAACATCTAAACGAAAGCAATTATATTTGTATTCAATTTATATTTTCAAATATTATGCAACTTTTCCTCTTAATAATAAAGACAACAAAAACATCAGCAACAACAATAACAACAACAACAACAATAATAATAATCATCATCATAATCATTGGTATAATCATTATGAATGAGTGAAGATCTCACGTGCAAACATTTCCATCCACTCATAAAACGCTCATTAAATAATAAAAACGGCCATAAAAACATAATTATAATAATTATTTAATATTATCATTATCATTTTATTATTATTATAATTAGTTGGTTAGATCCTTTAAGCAGCTTAGGAATCCGACTGGCGTCAATATATTGGTTGAACCTGCAAGTGAGGTGGTTAAAAGTTGAAGTTAAAAACAAGAAAAAATACTGGATAGGTATGTGAAAAAGAATTTAGGCAGTGTAGCTCAGATCGTAATGCATGCGTCATTTTCTATTGCACATTAACCTGGTTCGAACGCACTGTCCGCCAAGAACCGAAAGGCCACCACCATATTCCTAACACGTACATAGACACAAAAAAAAAATATTTTTTAATTCTAAAAATAGCCAACCAATAAGAACGTCGAAATTCTTTGCGGCCTGACTGACTTCATAGGCGCATCTCATTTCGGAGTAGGAAACTCCGCCCACGATGAACACGATTAGGCGAGGTCCACTTTTAAACGTCGACGGGCTCCTATCCTTGTGCCACTGTCCGTATCGGGCACTGGTTTTGCAGTATTTCACAGTATTTCATAGTATTGTGTATGGTATTAGTAAGGTACCGTTTGGTACCATTTGCTACTACAAGGTATAATATCTTATTACGTTGTCACTAACCATCGCTATCACTATTACTATCATGATAGGTATCATAATTATCGTCCTCACCATGGTATTGGTGAGGTATTGTTTGGTACCATTTGGCGTTACAAGATATGACATCATATTAAAATGTCACTTATCGTCATCGACATTGTTATAGGTATTATAATCTCATAATCGTCCTGATTATCATCATCACCACCGCCCCCACCACCACCATCATCATCATCATGTCTACTACCTAACGGGGGCAGCCCCCATCCCGGCAGATCTGGACCCCCCAGTAAGGAATGGAAACTTCTGGATGTTCAACTTCTCTTCTATTGCATCCTAGTAAAAATAATAACAACAATAATAATCATAATTACAATAATAATCATAATTACAATAATAATAATAATAATAATAATAATAAGAAACCTCCATGATGTCCTTGACGTAGGGTGTCCACCTGGAGGCCTGATACTTCCTCTCCGCGTTCCTCTCCTTGCGATTTTGTGGCTGGTAGCTTTGCGGTCTCTTTCGGCCACCCTGTGTGGTTGGATGCAATGAATGAATGAATGAATGGATGAATGAATGGATAAAACACTGAATGAACAAATGAATGAATGAATATCTGATAGACAAACGATTAAATTATCAACATCAGACAAAGCACAACAACAAAACTATAGCACATCACAACTACACACACACACACACACACACACACACACACACACACACACACACACACACACAACCAACTGACATCTTGTATGATGGGCACAGAGAGATTCTGCATGTTGTTGATGAGCAACTTTTCATCCGGAGGTATCTGTGCATGCTGCACCAGCTTGTTCAAGTTCTCCTCTGTTATGCCTGAGTGAATGAGTGAGAAGATGAAAGGAAGAGTGAGTGAATGAGTGAGAGAATAGGTGGAAAAGTGAGTGAGGAAATGAGCAAGTTGAGCAAAAATAATAACACAAAACAACGACAACACCAAAAACAACCAAGCAACCAACCAGAAGTACACCTAGACAGCCATATACATACCGGCAGACGTACAACCAAACACCAGATAGTCAGACAGTCATCCAGGAAGTCATCCAGACATAACAAACCTCCTTTATAGATGATATAGAGAAGGATGATTCGGATCTTATCAGAGATGAGTATATTGGCATCAAGTAAGATGGGAACGATGTTCCTCATGGGATCTTTTAGCTTTTCACCCTCCGCATCTGTTAACATTGCGAGATCCTGTGTGGATGAATGAGTGAGTGGATGAATTGATTGATCAATCAATCAATCCATCAATCAATCAATCCATCAATCAATCAATCCATCAACCAATCAGTCAGTCAATCAATCAGTAGACCTACCTGTTCAACTTTGCAGAGCTTATCAGCTTTACCTTGGTAGTGTTTCATGCAACCCTCCGCCATATTTAGATGGGTTGAATACCTGGTGTCGGTCCATGAGAAAAAGGTTATTCGATTCATTTAATTAATTGATTGATTAATTAATTAATGAATTAATCAGTTGAACAGCATAATGAACAATCAATCGATCAACCAACCGACCAACCAACCAACCGACCAACCAACCAACCTGTTCAATTCCTTCTGGTACTGCGGCATCTTCTTGATCATCTGTGATAGATCCCTCATGGATGACTTATCCTGCCCCATCCTCATCCGCTTCTGCTCAACAAAGTTTTTCAGCTTACTTGTCACGTCCCTGAAATTTGAAAAAATTGAATTTTTTTTTATTTGAGAAAAATGAAAATACATGTTTAAATAGATGTGTATGTAGAGATGTGTATCGATCAGCCAACCAACCAATCAGCCAACCAATCAGCCAACCAATCAGCCAACCAATCAGCCAACTAACCAGCCAACCAACCAACCAATCAGCCAACCTACCAACCATCCATCTAACCAACCAACCAACCAAACAACCAGCCAACCAATCAATCGGCCATCCAACCAATCAACCATCCAACCAATCAGCCAATCAAGGCTACTAACGTAGTGACTTCGGCAATGTGCATGTGCCTGAAGCTGACCCAAAGGTCGTCGTTCTCATCCAGTAGCACCTCCTTTTCCGATATCTCCCCACCGGCGTTTGATTCAAACCTTTCATCATCAATTAATCGATCAATCAATCAATCAACCAATCGATCAATCAATCGATCATTTAATTAATTACAATGATAAAAATATTACTACTACTAACTTGTAGACGTCATTTTCGATATTGAGCATGTCATAGGCCATGGCCTGAAAGGTCAATTCGTGGAGCAGCGGCGAAACGGGGTCAAACCCTCTATCCAGGATCAACAGTTGGGATCTATCCTTGCCTGGACCCTTAATTCATTTATTCATGGATGGATCGATTGACGGATAGATGGATGGATGGATGAATGGATCGATTGACGGATAGATGGATGGATAGATCGATTGACGGATGAATTGTGAAATAGATGAATGAATGAGTGGAAAACGAATAATGACTGGATGGCTGAATGGATAGATGCACGGATAAATAGATTGAAAAATGAATGGATGAATAAATGAATGAATGGAAAAAAGAAGGATGGATGGAATGGTACCTGTCCCATGGTATGATCATCAGCCTTGTAGGCATCCAACTTCTGCTGGATCAACTGAGCAAACTCAGCATTCCTATCCCACTCACTTTAATAAAAATAATAACTATAACAATAATAATAATAACAACAATAAAAATAATAACAACGATAATAATAATAACAACGAAATGAATGAATCACAGAGATCCGATGATTAAAATTGACGAAAATTGGAAAACTTATTGATAATTATTATTATTATGATTAATATATATCATAATAATAATAATTGTTGTGATAATTATTGTTATAATTAATGTTATAACTATTACTATTGTTGCTATAAGTTTAACCAAAGTGATTATCTACCTAAATAGAGTATCTATTTTTATAGTATTTCTAGTAAAATTTGAAAAACGCTATTACACAAACAAGTCATTGCTTTGAATGATTCATTCATTCAATCATTCATTCATTCATTCATTTAGATGGTCGTGGTGTCACTCGTGTTATAAGAAACTACTGATATACATGACGAATGAATAAATGAATGTATGAGTAAATGAATGAATAAATAAATGGAGTAAATGAATGAATGGAGTAAATGAATGAATGAATAAACTCTTCTCATAAATAATAATTAATTATAAGAAGACGTGATGACTGCGGTGGAGTCCAATGATTAGCCCAGCACCCAGATAAAATCAGTTAGTTGAAATTGAGAAGAAGTCAAACTCGAAATTTTGAAAGGTCGCAAGTAAATGTGCGCTAATGCAATGTACTCAAATTAAAAAACGGGTTCTTCAACTCAACTTATCTGTTTAATAAATTAATACTTGTACGAATTGTTAATTGTTTAAATTGGGGGAATAAAAGCCCCGATATATCTTCTCAAAGAATAAATAATGGTTAATTTATTAGTAAGTATTGACGCCCAAAGTTCTAATCTATTGTATCAATGATACAAGTTTTAAATTCAGATAATTGTTTGGTTTCACTTGAGAATGCATTTTGTAGAATCATCTTCTAATCCTTGGACCTCTGCTTATTATGTGACCAAACAGTATACATTTGTCTTTGAACGAAGGAACGAAACAATGAAAAAAGAACGAACGAACGAACGAACGAAGAAACGAATGAACGAACGAAGAAACGAATGAACGAACGAACGAACGAAATTATAGAAAAATATTTGATTGGATGGATAAGTGAATGGTCAGACTAAAAACAAATGCATACAAGAACAAACGGACGCGCAAACGTACGAATGAGTGAACGACTGAATGGATGATAAAAGAATTAAAGAATGAACAAATAAATGAACGAACGAATGAACGAACGACGAACGAACGAACGAATGAACAAAATACCTTCTGTAGCGTATTGACGGGTACTCTCCGAGTGTAGCGCACAGTGTGGCTATCTGCTCTGCACATCTTTCCAAGTTCATCATACGGCCTATGACGATGATGACGACGATGATGGTGACGACGACGACGATCACAATGATGAAGATAATGATGACGATCAATTACTATCATTTCAATGATATATGAATAAAATGAAACCTGATTGCTTGGCAGGGTTGTAATAAAATTGAAAAGTGCTCACAGAGTCTAACGAAAACACCTGATGATGATGTTGGTGATGATGACGATGATATGGTGTTGCTGATGATGATGTACACACAAGCATACACGCACGTACCCACACGTACATACTCTACGCACTTGACTCTCATAAGGTAGGAAAGCAATGTTGATCTCTTTCAATGTTTTAATGTGTCTAGCGCTGGTTGACTTGCAGAGGTCATTAAAAAACTCATCTGGACATGCTGCCCATGTGATGATGTCACAAAAACAATAAAAATTATTAGTATTATTGTTGTCATATTATTCATTAAATCAATCAACCAACCAACCAACCAACCAATCAACGAAACACCAAATCAAAAAACTCAACCAACCAACCAGCCAACCAGGCAGCCAGCCAACCAACCAGACAATCAACTGACCTTCGGTAAAGAATACATGAGCGCCTTTGTACATTGTCTTTAATGGATTTTGAAAATCAGTTATCAGAGCTTTGATGGACTGAAAAAATAGATGAAAAATGAAGAAATAAAAAATTATTATATTTATTATTATAATTATCAAAATAATTCTAATAATAATAATTATCATTATTATTATGGTACTTTTTCGATAGGGGTGATGAGGTAGATAGCTTCTAAGGAAGGTAGTGGCTCTCTCTTCTTGTTTATATCCTCAACCACTGAATGAATGAATGAATGAAAAAAAATGAATGAAAGGATGAATAGATGTATAAATAAATAGAACAATGAATGAATGAATAAAAGAAGAAAGAAATGAATGACTGAACAAACACACACATACATGCACATTTGAGAGAACTACTAATAAGTAATATGACCAGACCCTCAAAGACACACTCATACAAGCATATTAGAGAGAACTACTAGAACTACTAATAAGTAATATGACCAGACCCTCAAAGACACACTCAAAGACACACACACACACACAAAGACACACACACACATGAACCTACAGGTGATCTGTTCAGACATGATCTCAGTCATCTTACAACAGGCTGATAGCATCCTCATGCTTAAATGATCCACAACTAGCACCTTCCATTCTTTACTCTTCACTTGAGCTATCACCTCATTCATAATTTCTGTAAGAATTATAATTTATATAATTAAAATAGTATTATATAAAAAAATAAAAATGAAATAAAAAGATAAAAAACTGAAATGATTATTAATTGAGTGAAGAGAAATTGAATTTATTGACTGAATCAAACTATAATATTTAAGTAAGACAAAGACAGTTTTAAAAAATACAGATAAATCATTTAATTTATTTCACCATTTGATATTTAAGATAAATAAAAATACTTCTATTAAATTATTTAAAAAAAAAAACTAAAAAAAAATAATGGGCGAACAGTTCAAACAACAAAATACTGAACAAATACACATAAAAGTTATCTTTTAATACAATCCGGACTACTAACTGTCGTGTACGGCAACTTTCAACGCCATTTTAACTTTTAAAATAAATTATTTGATGAATATTTTAGCGATTATATTACGATCAAAACCGAATGTAACTTGTTTTTATTGTGAAGTCTAGATATTTAATGAGCTTAAATGATGAGGAGCCAAACTTTTACGTTTAACATTTGTTTCTGTTCTTCAAGGTTTTTTACCAGAAAACTGCGATTTAATTATTAAAATCATATAATTGCAGCACAAATAAGTATTATCTTTAATAAGATATAATTATTAATAATAAAATCATAACAATAATTTTATTTATTTATTATTTTAAATGCTCCATAAAGCCTTACTCATCCATTCATGTATTTATACACGGTACAGTCATAGATGCTTTGTGTACAGTACATACAGCATAAATACATACATACATACATTCATACATATATACATACAACGTACATACAACATGCATACAGAAATGCATACAGGCATCATATATACGTGCCAAGTGTATATAATACATGTGTACTTATTGTGCATACCTTTTGTACATTTCACCAAATTTGTACTACATGTTTCGTACATAATTGTTCCTAATTTAATAACCAGTTAATGAATGCAACAACATAATTATGTCTAAATGAAAATTATCAAATCATTTTTGCTAGTATTTCATAATATAGTAACTTTACACAACTATATAATTAACCTTCAAATCTTAATTTAGTACTGTATGATGAAGAAAGCATTTTCCGAGATAGCCCGCTGATTCACTAGAATCTAATGAATAATAATAAGAATAAGAATAAAAAGAATAATAAGAATAATAATAAGAAGAAGAACAACAATAAAATTAACATAATAAATAATAATTACAAAAATAAAGCATTTTGTTATTATGCAACTTGCTAAAAATACATGCTTTTGTTGTTCAATATATCAGATATATGATCTATAATTCTATAGATACACGTACGTACATATATGTTTGTTGTACACATTGGATGCACTATTATATACAAAGTGCACATAATGTGTGCAGTTATCATTGCAGGGAGTTACTCGAAGAAAAAAAACAAAGGAAGTATCACATCATGGATCTTTTAAAAAGGATGATTTTCCTGGATTTAAAATAAAATAAAATTATAAAAGGTTTGAATTATTGTAGATTTAATATATTTATTCAGAAAAATGATTGAATATTTTAAATTTTGAACGGTGTTTTATAGATATTTGGTTGAATACCTTTGTTAAAATTTAATTTGTAATTTGATCATCTCATGGCTCATCATTCATCATCATATTCCTCCTGTTGTTTGTTAATCTTTTCATCCTGATTTCATTCAACCAATATTTGATAAAAATTATATATTAAATTATAAAATTAATTTCGTAATTATCCAGCGTTAGATTGCTCCGAAATGCTTTGAATTTGAATTGAATTAAAATTAAAAAAGGCTGATTGCTTTACTTTTACCACTTTGCTTTACAATGTTGTTAATACTCTTTGTTTTTAAATATTTGAAATATATATAAAAATTAAATTAAAAATTTTATAATTATTTATGATAATTACTATTTATGTAATTTAAATGTAATAAATTGTAATTTCATTCTTTTTGCAGAGCAAGACTCACACAGACCATTGGAAGTTTATGTCTGGTCAATTTTTGATTGACATGTCTATCAGGGGCAAAAAACTGGAAAGCAATTTCCTATTCACTTTATGACAATAATATTAAATACACTACGCAATGCATTGATTGTACTAAGTTACAATTCTTACATACAGTGTAGTCCTAAAAATGTGAATGAATACTACATTCTGACTTATACTATGATACCAGAACTACACAGTAATATATAGCAGTATAAAATACTGTTAACAATATAAAATACTGTTACTGTTTCTTACTTATTTTACCATAGATTGTTTTTGAAACAGATGATAGTTACATATATATTTTTTCTGAATAAATTAATTTATTCAAAATTATTTAATATTAAATAGAAACCTAATCAATGTGTTTATCATTTAAACTGTTATTAACAATAAAATCGTTTTAAACTTTTAAATTTAAAACAAAATACGAGTCAGTTATTGACCACAAAATGATGAAAGCAGAGGTTTTCCATGGCAGACTATCTTCTGGTGATTTAGTAAGTATTTTGAATTATTGGTTTTGAAGAAATAAATGAATGTTCCATCTATCTTTCATGTTGAAGTTATATTGTTTTTTAAAATTGTTTGATTTTTGTCCAAAATGAATGAATGAATGGATGAATAAGTGAGATTTAATTTTAGAATTATTTAATAATTACCATTATTAATAGATCAATTTTTGGTTTCATTGAATTGGATGACTGAATGGTGATGAACATAAAGATGATGGTGCAAATTATTAAGTTGATAATGAAAATAATGACGATTTTATAAAGAAGTAATGACATAAACTATGATTATAATATGATGGTGAGGAAGGAGAAGAAGATGACGAAATAGGACTGACTAACTGTAACTTTACATCTAGTTTAATAGGAAATGTTTTTATGATAATTATTTGATTCTAAACTTAATAATGAATGAATTGGTTGGGATAATGAGAGAGAGAGAGAGAAAGAGAGAGAGAGAGGAGTAAGATAGCTAGCTAATTATGAAATTTATCTAATTGTTATTTTCATAATGGTGATTAGTGATTATTACTACTTGCTTGATAATAGGCTATGGGTAGGTAAATACTGTACTGAAGGCTATAAACACAGTAAGGTGTGTGTACTGTGTAGTACTTAATTATTACTACTGCTATCACTGCAGCTACTACCGCTACTACTGCTGTTACTACCACTGCTGCTGCTTCTACTACTATTGCTGCTACTACTACTAATAGTCTTCCTTTATTACTTTCATCATTGTCACAATTGTTCTCGGTGACATATGTTAATAGTTTTTATGAGGAAGGAAACACGTTTCTGACAAGTTATCATCGTCTTCGTCGTCGTCATCATCATTACCATCATCATTATCATCATCATCACCGTCGAGATCATCTTCATCATCATCATCATTATTTTATTATCATTAATATCAGCAAAGCACAACTGTTATAATAAATATATGATGACGATGATGACGATGATGGCGATGATGGCTATTATTATTATTATTATTATTATTAATATTAATATTATTAGTAGTAGTTGTAGTTGTTGTAGTAGTAGTAGTAGTAGTAGTAGTAGTAGTTGTAGTAGTAAAAGTAGTAGTTGTAGTAGTAGTTGTAGTGGTGGTGGTAGTAGTAGTATCTTTAAGAATTTTATCAGTTGAGTTTGATGATCTCATCTCTCTACATTTATCTTTTTTAAGTGTGCGTGTGTGTGTGCGTGCGTGCGTGTATGCGTGTGTGTGTGTGAGAGAGAGAGAGAGAGAGAGATATATTTTCACCTGTTATAAATATTTTTATTATTATTAATATTATTATTAATGATAGTTCAAGGACGGTAATAATAATAATCTTTGATAGAAATTTATGTATTATGTAGTGATAACGACGATGATGAAAATAATTAATTTGCCGTAATAATAATAATAGTTATTATTATTATTATTAATTATGGTTGATGTTATTATTATTATTATTATTATTTAAGAAGTATTACTGATAATGATGTTATGTTTATGATGGTAGAACTTTGTTGAGTGATTGATTGCTGTAATTTTAAGCATGATTAAACGTTTATCGTTGGTTACTTTTTGTGTTTACATTATTATCATTATTATTTAAAGTAGTAGTAATAGTAGTAGTAGTAGTGGTAGTATTATTATTATTATTGTTATTATTATTATCATCATCATCATCGTTATCATGATTACCCTTATTAAAATCATCGTCGTCGTCGTCATCATATAAGCATGGCGCCGTCTATCAATATGTCATCATCGCCACGTCATCGTCATCATCGCCACCAACACCGCCACAACATCATCATCACCACCATGTCCATCACATGATCGTTATCATCGTCATCATATTCATCATCATTATCACATCATCATCATTATCATATCACCATCATTATCACGTCACCATCATCATCGTTATCATCATAGGACGTCACGAGTCCAATTTTGAAGAGAACAAGTCCTTTCACCAGGTTGAAACAACAACAGCAACAACGCTTCAACATCAACAAAAATTTAAAAAGTGCTGATGATAATGGAGGTCATGATAAAGATGACGAGGAAGAGGAAGAAGAAGATGACGATGATGATGATGATAATGATAGCCTCTCCAGAAAGCTTGAAATGAACTTCAACAACGACGAAATTATAAACGATGAAGATGACGATAGTGGTGCTGATGATGATGTTCTCGGTTGTGATAATGATCTCATGAGCCGTAATGGTCATCCTTATTGCGATGATGATGATGTTGATGGTGATGATGATGACTATTTGAAGCCTAGAACTGAAACTCATGTTGCTGGCTTCATTAAAGGTTTATATGTGTGTTTGTGTGTATGTATGTATGTGTGTATGTATTTATGTTGGTTTGTGTGTGTGTGTGTGTGTGTGTGTGTGTGTGTGTGTGTGTGTGTGTGTGTGTGTGTGTATGTTTGCATGTGTGTGTATGTTTGTATGTGTATGTATAATAATCATGTTTGTATTTCCTTTATTGAAGTGATTATGATTCAATTATGTCTGATGTTTGGCTGGTCCAACTGACATTATTACTTTTCTGTCTAGTTCACATTTCATTTTTTCGTTTTCTGTGTGTGTTTTTGTGTGTTTTTGTTTGTGTGTGTGCATGTGTGTTTATGAAAGGGGGTCAGAAAGAAAGAGAGAGAGAGAGAACGAGGAAAGTGGAAAGATACAGATATCATAGTATAGAAAGAGTAGATATACAGGTATCTTAATTAGGTAGATTTAGCAAAAAAATTGAAGAAATAAAGAAAATATAGAATGAATGTTAGTATATATGCATGCATATGTGTCTGTATGTATGTATCTATGTATGTGTTTGTATCTATGTATGTGTGTATGTATGTATGTATGTCTGACCCTTCCTTGATTAGCTTTGTTGTACGTCTGTATGTATGGATGTTTGTTTGTATGAATGTTTGTTTGTATATATGTTTGTTTATATGTATGTTTGTGTGTGTGTGTGTGTGTGTGTGTGTGTGTGTGTGTGTGTGTGTGTGTGTGTGTGCGCGTATAAAAACGCGCATATGCTCTTCATTACCCAGAAAATAATCTAGGTTATCAAAAACAACATCCAAAACAATAAACTAAAAACGAACTCACATTTCTGTGCGTTCGTGTGTGTGTGTGTGTGTGTGTGTATGTGTATGCGTGCGTATGTATGCGTCGTGAGTGTGTTTATACGTAGGTGTGTATGTATACAACAATGTATATAAAAATATAATGGTATATGTGAGAGTAATGATTCATGGAATCTAAATTTTTTATAGGTTTTTTTGGTTAATTTCGTTTGTTTTGTTTCGTTTGCTTGTTTGTTTGTTTGTTTGCTTGTTTGTTTGTTTGTTTTGTTTTTTTAACATTTTCTTTTTTTACAATTTTTTTGTGTTAATCAGGACCGAACATGTTTTGAAGTGCCATTGAAATGCAATTGAAATAATTGATGTTATTATAGTCTTCCTTACAAGTGTGTGTGCGTGAGTGTGTGTATGCGTGCGTGTGTGTATGCGTGTGTGCGTGAGTGTGTTTGCGTGTGTGCGTGTTTTGTTCGTGTTCGTATGTTATTATAATTTTGCTACTGTATATTTTTTGATTAGAAGTTAACTGCCTGATTACTGCTACGCTATCTTTATTTTTTGCTCTTCCTCTGTTTCTCTCTATCTCTCGTTCTCTCTCTCTCTCTTCTCTTTCTCTCTTTCTCTCTCTCTAATTAATTTTAATGTTAAAAAATAATTTCTTTTATTTCAGGCCCAAGTTGCTACCTAGCTAATGACGGTGGCATTAATTACAATCCACAATCTTCAACAAACTACAGTTTCCACTACAACAGCGTTTTAAATACTAAAAACACTTTTACTAGAAACACTACTTCTGCCGCTGCTGCTGCTACTACTACTACTTCTGCTGCTGTTGTTACTGCTGCTGCTTCTACTGCCACAAACCACAGTCTAATTCCTACATATAACAGAAATACTTTCACTAGAAACACTGCCTTCAATACTTGTAATACTACCACCAATACCATTTATAATACTAACGCTACAAATATTAACGTTACTACTGCTACTGCTACTACTACTGCTACTACTACTACTTCGAACGGTGGTAGTAGTAGTGGTGGCCACTGTCGCATTAGCAGCTCTGGTCAGAACATGATTTTCGGTGTTGATAATCATCCAAATCAGAGCAACAACAACAACAACAATAATAATAATATCAATAGTAGTATTAGTAATAATAATAGTAATAATAAAAACAATTACAACACTTACAAAGTTTGCGGTAAAAAAAATAATATTAACGTCGTTCATTACAATTGTAACAATACCAGCATCAACAACAACAACATTAACAACAACAACATTAACAACAACAAAATTAACAACAACAACATTAACAACAACAACATTAACAACAACAATAATAATAACAACAACTACAACAACACCGTTGATATAGTTAGTAACAGCAACAATAACAGCAATAGCAGGAATTTGGACAGCAACCTCTATCTAAAATCAGTTAGCATCATTTCAGTACAGTTATTAATTTACTGAATTGGTGTGTTAATGTCAGCGTAACGTGTCATAATGTTACATCATTACATTACAATCATTACATCATTACATTACATTCAGACACATCATTACCATCATCGTCGTCGTCGTCATCATCGTCGTCGTAGCAATTTTTATGACGTCATTCATTATATTACATCATCATTTTACGACATCACGACGCTATCATCACATTTATCGTCATATAAACATCATCGGCGAATGACTTTCACCATGACGTCACCATTAAAGTTGTTTGTATGTAAGAAGGCATAATAATAATAATAAAAGCTTTTTATCGGCCAGCATCATCTCTTAAAGACTTGCACGCACTATCTCAGAATGACGTTTTTGTTGTTGTTGTTAGTTAGTGTTGCTGAGAGAGAGAGAAAGAGAGAGAGAGAGAGAGAGAGAGAGAAAGAGAGAGAGAGAAAGAGTTTCTTTTGAAGAATTGGAGTTTAGACCGACGGATTGAAATAGTTACATGCTGTAAATTAACTCAAGTCTTTGTAAAGTATGTAAAAAAAATCGTCCCTCACAGGCGTGTATGTGTGGCTATTTTTTTATTTCATTTTCGTAAAATAAATTTAAATATTTTTTAAAAGTTTTAATGCTAGTTAATTTTAAATTTTAATTTTATTTTGAGGGGGCTTAATAATAGAATACGGTATCGAGTCTGTATATGGCATATTTAATTAGCGTTTAGGGGTTTTGTGCTAACTAACTTCAATCTGGATATTGCAGAATATGATTTTAATTTCAATATCTCTGTTTTGGTCATCATCGTCGTTATTTTGTCTATGGTTCTTGGTATATTTTTATGGTTTTCATCATTATTGATTTCGTCGCCAGCTTAGCTTTGTCGTCATCGTCAACCTCATTGCCATTACATTCACATCATCATCATCGACGTTACTACAATCATTGTCGCTACAATCACGTCATCATCATCACCAACATCGTCATCATCATCACTAACGCCGCACGACCTTCAGCATGGAGATATGATATACTCACTACTATCGATACTCGGCACTCACAACAAAGACGAAATGAGTAGGTCGCTACACGCCATGTCGCTCTCACCCGAAAGTTGTGTGGCCATGAGGCAGTCCGGTTAGCCACTCATGATGGTGATGATGAGGATGATGATGGTACCGATGTGAGATGACGTAATTTTTTATAACTTTTTCAAATTTTGATTGAAACTGCAATCTACAATTTCACTAGCACATTTTCTTCTTTGCACGCACGAACACTCCACGCGTAAACAAAACACACATGCACACACACACATACATACACACACACACACACTTTTACAATTCTTCACACGACAAAGGTTGCCTGCCCCTGTTAATCCACCTACTGCACAATAGCGAGCCAGACCCTAACCACTTCAACATAAGGTCAAGGTCGTCGGCCACCCTCCGTAACATCATCAACGTGCATTGCGAGGATCAAAGGGGCAGACAGGAGTCCAGGGTGCTGAGGTTGTTGGAACAGGTTCGCGACTATTGCGATCATCTGAAAGCCTCTGCTCTCTATAACGCATGCTCTTCGTCCGTCGTTTATGACGATGTTGCATATTTTCAAGGTTTTCCATTCTAACTTGTCCTTATTTTGTTATTTTAAATATCGAAAAATTTTATATCGTGTTTGCTTTATAAATATTCGTAAAGTTGTCTGATTGGTTTAAAAACTTGGTTGATTTATCAATAATTCAAATGTCCGTTTAAACGTCGTCTCTCCCATAGAATACTTATGTGGTGCTGATCAATTTTGATTGAATGCAATGTTTACATGAAAGGAAAAATAATATTTTTGGCAGGAAGGGAAATTATATAGCAACGATTATTACTACTGCTGCTATAATTACACCTGTTACCGCTACTACCACTGCTACAGTCGATACTACTACGACTACAACATTACTACTACGACTACTATATGTACCATATGTTTCTTATTTGTATCTTTTAATTCCGATTGTAGAATGTATTAATTTTACTGGTCATAGTCAGTAATAAGACGAAGTAATGGTACGAATTTCTTTTTTGCAAAATTCAAATGCACAACACAGAAGCTAATGTACATTCAAACGTTTCAAAACATGTTGACTCTGTATAGATTACATTCTGAATGGACTTTGCTCACTTTATTAACCTCAATTTATTTGACTGTTTTGCAGCTTGTAATAACAATAAGAACATAATAATATTAAATAATAACAACAACATAATGTAATTAATAATTATTATAATAAAAACACAGCAGGATATTTAACAGACATCCAACATCCGTTGGGTGCTGCAACAGTCCTGATGAAGTTAACATTCGACGAAGAACACAGGCACGCAATATGCACATTAGGTGACTTGTGAATTAAAACTGCTAGTCATTCATTCACTCATTCATTCATTCATTCATTCATACATTCATTCATATATTTATTACCGCATTATTTTCAATGTACGTCTGCTCTGCTCGCTCTATGTTATCGGAAACAACAAAAAATTATTTATGGTATGCGTGTTCTGCTTTGTTGCATGCTATATATATAGGAACTGTTAGTGAAAATTTATTTTATTTTTAAATAAATTAAAAAATATTTTTTTGAAAGGTGGCATCCAGGCATTGGCGGAGCTACTGCAGTTGCAGCAGGAGTTGTTCGGCCACACCTTGGACCCCGACAACCTGACAATGAGAAGATACACGTGCATGGCTCTCACTAATCTAACGTTCGGAGATGGAACTAACAAAGCTCTCCTCTGCTCCATGCCCGGTCCACTTCGAGCCCTGGTCATCCAGCTCGAAAGTCCCTGCGAAGATCTCTGCCAGGTGGCTGCCAGCGTTCTCAGAAATTTGTCATGGCACGCCGATACAGCCAGCAAAAAATATTTGAGAGCCGCTGGAGCCGTGGAAATGTTAACGAGGTCCATACTAATTATCAAAAAAGAGTCAACTCTTAAAAGCTTGTTGAGTGCACTTTGGAATTTCTCATCTCATTGTCCGGAGAACAAAGAGGATATTTGTGCCATCAGAGGAGCCTTGCAACTTCTTGTTTGGTCTTTGAATTTCAAGAGTCCGTCGAAAACACTGGCTGTCGTTGAGAACGGCGGAGGTGTGTTGAGGAATGTAAGCAGTCACGTAGCTACCAGAGCAGACTATCGAAGTATTCTGAGACAACACGGTTGTCTTCCGACTTTATTGAAACATCTACGATCTCCAAGCTTAACCGTCGTAAGTAACGCCTGTGGAACTTTGTGGAACTTATCAGCTCACTGTCTGGAAGATCAGAAAATTCTCTGCAATTTGGGTGCAGTTGGCATGTTGAAAAGTTTGGTACATTCGAAACACCGCATAATATCGATGGGTAGCACAGCCGCCTTGAGAAATTTAATGTCGTCGCCTGTCTTCAACGTTCACAACGATTCATCCCTTAGTCCCTTCTCTACGTTATCTTCCAATAAAATGCTACAGAACGACGCATGTTTTTCACCGGATGATATCGAACGCCCTGGTTTGCACGTTCGTAAGCAGAGGGCTTTTCAAAAGGAGTTAGAAAGTCGTTATTTTTCTGAAACTTGTGAAAATATGGACAGCCCTGTCGGAAGCCCCAGTGGAAATTCAAATTTTCTGGATTTTTGTAACAACACAACTGATGCAATCTCTTGCGTTTCATCATTAGCATTTACTAGAAAATCTAATGTTAGACCGAGTAACAAATACTCAATAAATATTCCTCCTACGAAACCACCCTCCTATCCAATTCATCTCAACGACGTTATATGCCTGTCAGATACTGAAGCTTCCAGATTGAATGCCGGCAAGATTAATAATTATGCTCTAAAAAATAACATGTCTTTGGAAAACGAAGGATTGGATAGCGTTTATATTGATTCTGAAAATTTTTACTCGCCTGGTATATTTTTGAGTTGCCACGAAAGCATCGCAACTGGCAACCAAGACAACGCAGCTGATTTCTACCATTCTCCATTTAACGTTCGTAATGATAAAAATTTTCAGTGCGCCAACAATTTTAGAGATATAACTGCAGATGCGTTAATTGTTCACCCTGCTTCTTACGGCGATTTGATGAAGAATAACGACTTCGCAAATATTGAAAATCTCGAAAATGATATGATTAAAGTAACTGTAGGGAACGAAGGCGAATTAATTAACGGTAAACAGGATGTTAACGATGCTCATTTTAGTAATCATTTACAACAAAAGTTCGAGTATAAAATTGATAGAAATAATTTGAACAACCAAAAATCAATCAACTACGATAAACACACGACCAATCAAGAAAATATAGGAAAGGATATTCAATCAAAATCTAGAATCCCGTGCTTGGCAGTTTCAAAAAAGATATTGATGAATCAAAAATCTCAAATACCGCAAATTAATTTGGAATCAGCCTCTAATTCATCTAATGAAATTTGCTCGAATTTGATAAATGCAGAAGTAAAAGAAAAACAGGAAAGAAACGCCTTTCGCAAGGTAGAAATTTTTGGCAAAGTGGAAGAAAAAAGCGAAAATTCGAAAAGGAGCGAAAATTCGAAAAGGAAAACAAAATCATTCTTGAAACAGCCGCTGGGTTACAGTCCCGTACATTTAAAAGAAACGAAATCTAGCATTAACAGTGATGTGACCACAGATTCTTTAAACTCCTACAAGTTGGCAGATGCAGAAAACGTTTTCTTTGATAGTACGCCAGACCAACTTAAGGCAAAAGAAGTTAGCAATTTGTCGAAAAGAAATGTTTTATTTGTATCAGAATCCGATAAAAACTCTTCGTCCGAATTATCAAACTCTCCGACAACTAAATTCTCCATGTCATTAGAACAAGAGCGAGCGTTGCAGGAAAACGCGAACTTAGTTCTCTCTGTTTTAGAAAGAACTTCGTTAACGGAAAGTAATCTCAGCAACGAGGTTCTGCTCTTGGAACACGAAACCATATCTCTCATTTCCAACGACGAACTCATTGATGAATTTTTATCAAGCAACGTTTGGGCTAATGAAGGTAATCTCGAAGAAAAATTTGTCAAGGCGCAACATGGAAATAACGATGTATCACTAGGTAATCACAAACGCACACCTGGCAGATTAGATTCTTTTTGCACGAATCAGAAAGAAGAAAAAGAATTGACTTTAGTTCCGAATAATGAAAATAATGAAAGTAAGATCTGTGAAAAAAATGAAGAGAAAAAGATGATTATAAACAAACCAAAAATTGTAAAGCCTAGTTCGACGAACAGTTTTCAAAGCAGAACCGAAGAAAGTAAGGATGTTACAAATCAGCCTAAAGTGATTAGAGGCAAAAGGAAGGCTCTTTATTCTAACAAGCCAAAAACTTCAGTTGAAAAATTGGAATCTCGTTCGCAAGCCATTTCATCCAAGTCTAATTCATCAATGCATTTCAAAAAAGATCTGCAAGATAAAACTAAATTATGTTTCGATACGGCAAAAAATGTAACGAAGACCAAACAATCCAGTGTAACGCACAGTAAAGCACTGTCCAGTAAAATTGATAAAACGTCCATCACAACAAAAAGTTCGTCGTCGTCATCTAGACCACAATCTGCGGTTATCAAAAACGCAAGTTTTCCTTCATCGACGATAGATGATAGTGCTAAACAGGCAAAATTAAAATCATACTCTCTGCCACCTAATCAAAAACCCCCGACGGCCAACGATATTAAACAGTTGAATGGCAAAGGTTTAAAAGCTAAACCAACGTTAAACAAACAAGATACTTTCATCAAGCCACCTAAATCAAACTCCTGCGATACGAATAAAATTACGCTGAATTCCTCAAAAGAAACAGATTCGAAAGATGAAAAACTTACAAGTGCGAAACGAACATTAGCAACTGCAACTTCAAAACACGCTCAACCAAGAGGCTATAAAAAAACATCTTTAAAGAGTTCCTCGCCTCATTCATCGCTGTCATCAACTGAAAGGTTGTCGTCAGTTCTATCTTCTTCCAACTTGCTCAAGAATCCTATCGTCACTAAATCAGGCTCCAATTACTCTGTCACCAGTAACAAAAGCGTTAACAGCATGCCCACAAAAATGCTACCCAAAACTGTAAGTGCTTCAGCAGCAGCTAAACAAAGCGCTGCAAAGCAAACAGTTGCGGCTAAAGAAATTACTGGTGAAAACAAATCAACAACGACTTGTAAGTTAGTTAAGAGTTCAACGTACGACAAACTAGAAGAATATTTCGATGGCGATGATGTGAAGAGAAATACAGCAACAGACAATGCACCCTCAAAGATTCTCAGCTCAGCAGAAAAAACTCAAAACCAGGGAAACAAAAAAGCCGCGCGAAATAACTTAAGTTTGAACGTTGAAAAGAAAAAGGAAGCCACCAAAAAACTTTCTCTATCAACCAAGAGACAAACATCAAATGAAAGTGACGAGCGTGAGTGCAAGCATCAACCTCAAAACGAAATTGTCATCCTTGATCCTACTTTAGATAAAGGCAAGAACATTTTTGTATCGCCAATCAAATCAAAATTGTTCACTCACGCGAGCTCTAAAGATGACAAAGCTGACACCGGCGTAAAAAATTCTTCAAAAATTCCAGCAAGTAACACAACGGACGAAGACAAAATAAAACATAAATCTCACAAAGGCTTCCCGTTTTGGAAGAAACATTCAAATAAAACAAGCAACCAACATGATGTGGGATGCGAAATAATAAACAAGGAGCCACTGAAAACCTCGAGTTCAGATTCAACAGCTCAAGTTAAGAAACCGCAAAAAAATAAAATATGTCCAAAGCCTGAATCTCCTATCAAAAGGAGAGTTTTTGGTTGGTTCAAGAAGAATGTCGAGACGCACACCTTGATTGCAGAGAAAAATCAGACTCTCGTCAACTCTAACAACACTCTTGCAACCGACGTTATCACAAACAACGCCATCGTAATTGACAACGACCTTTCTGTCGTAGACACGTTAATAAACAATTTAGACGTTGCAAATGGTAACAATAACATTCTCCCAGTAAGTTTAAACACCACACAAGTGATCGATGTTTCCGACAGTGTTGTCGATCACACCGGCCAAGCAGTCGATTCTTTTGTACATTCAACTCCTAAACTGACCAAAACCGAACTTCTACTAGCCAGACATAAGAAGTCGAGGTTGAACTCAGATTCCAGAAGTAGCATGGCTATGTCCATCGATAGTTTAAAAGTGAATTCCATCGATTCGTGTCAAAATACTGACCGATCTTATTCGGACAATCGGAGCGAGTTAACAGGCAGAGAATACGACGACGACAGCGTAAATTTCAGCGACAACAGTCACATCTTATGACGTTTAATCATCTTAGTGCTATTTTCGCTTAGTTATTTTCATATTATATTTTTCAGTTCTTTGTAAAATTTTTAAGCATTTGGTATTTAAAACGATTTTTTCATTCGTTCAATATGTTACATTGTTCATTTCATTTATCACATGTTATATGATTCCTCAGTTGTTATAGTTTACATTTTAAATCGTGTAAAGCTTATTTAATATTTCGTGCGTGATTCACTTCAGGCTATGAGATCCATTCATTGACAGACCAGGCCAGATGAAAACGTGTGAAAGATATTTGTAAACAATGTTGTCATATCTTATATACAATTAGTTTTTGATCATATACATACACACAGACCAACGCAACGCAACTAATTGCTTGTTAAACGACTCAGCTATTTACCTAAGTGCTTGTCGTTAATCCGTTCATTTTTGCTATTCACGTTAGAATGATTGCTTGCACCGAACTCGTCTAGGTAATTTAAAACAAGCCTTTATTTGCTAATCGTCGCCGTGTAGTTCTGTTAAGAATGTTGAATATTTTGTATGTCTTCATAGACATTGCTTGCAAATACTCGCGTAGGTACTTCTATATGGCGCCGTCAATGTCTGATTTTGAAGTTTTTTAATATTTTTTTTTTCAAACCTGAATGCAAAAAAGATCTTTTTCAAACAAATGACGATATTGACCTTTATTTATTTACACGTTTGTATTTTAAATTGTCATGTTTTAGATTTCTCTATTCCTCCTAGTCTCTTACGTAAACGCTTCAAATTTCATTGTCGAATTTCATGTCATAAAATTTTCGCTTTTGTGTTGTCCGTCTATGTATACTACGCACAAACACACACACACATATATACACGCACAAACACACACATATACACGCACAATTGTCTTTTCATCATTCTTTTGTACATTTTGATGACTACGGAACCATCGTCCGCTTTAGCATTTATTCTGTTTACACAAGTTCATTCAGTTGATTGATTTACATTATGATCACCAAAATATGGTCGAACGAAAACTGTGTTGTTATAACTTTTATTGTTAACGTTATTATTGTTATTACATTTATTAATTTTATAATTTAAACCGTTTTAAACATGTAAGGTCTCAATTTATTAAAGATTTTTTAAAAAAAGGTTAAAAAACATTATTTTAAAACGGTATTGATTGATCTTATCAACTAACGGACGACTTGTTTATAACTAACAAGCGTTTTTCGTTATTCACTACAAACATTATTACCAGATTCGCATCTGATTTTAACGGAAAATAATTTCTGAATAGAAAAAAATGGTTTATTAAAAGATTAATTTTTGTTGTTCGTTTCCTGTTAAAAATTTATAACCGGCAAGATTTAGCTTGATAATGCTTCAATTTTTTATTTAAAAATAAACAAAACGAAATAATATTTTCGACACTTATATGTAAGTCATTCCAAGGATTAATAAATAAATTACTCTTACTCTCTCTCTCTCACACACACACAATATATCAATATTCAAATTTTCTTCATTTAACATCATCTTCATTCAACAGCACACTATTCAGCATTACCATTTTACCATCCATCTGTTTGACCATATCATCTGTCATGTAATTTCTGTAGTCTCCTATTATACCTTTAATTCAAAATATTAAAAAAAAACAATTAAAACAATTAGTTAATTAATTAAAATTGATTAATTGATTAAAAAAAGAATAATTTTAATAATAATTATACAAATATTGCCAAATATAAGGTCGCAACAAGTTAAAAAATGAAGAAAAAATTCCTAACTAAACCTTTTCTCATAAAATTCGCTTCCTTCTTGTTCCTTATTCCCAAATCATCCCACCAGGAATAATTGACGGATGGATTGTCTTTCATCTTTTCGAATTTTGTCTCCTTAGCTATCTCATTGATTTGTTGATCTGTCAGCACTGTTCCTAAGAAATCGGCAATTCTCTTTATAACTTTCGGTGAATTCTTGAGATAAAAAATATGTAATAATGGCAAATATGGGTTAGATTTGCATACGAGACCTTCACAAATTAGTAAATGTAAACTAGATTTAGTAACTAAAATGAGTTGTATAAAGATATTTAATTGGAATCATGAATTTTTTTTGTCCAAAAAATGAAATAAAAAGCTAAAGGTACCGAGTGCAGATCTTCATATGTGATGAAAAGTATGTTGGGATCATTTCTATGCTCCCAAAATGATGTCACATGATCAATCCAGGGCCCATATGCAACTTTTAGAGAAAAAAAATTAAATTATAAGAATTGGTTAAACAACCTTTGAAAATATTTAAAAAATTTAAATAAGTGATTGACACATTGAAAAATTACAAACAAAGCCACCTGTTCCCTCAAGAAAATTTTGAAAAAAATTCTGAAAAGAGCCGCTGTAGTTGAGGAATGATATCATCTTCAGAAAGTTGTAGTAGGAGACACAAACATCCTTAGGCTGCCTGGCTATGTAGATCACCTTTGTTTAAAATATTCCATTTTAACATAGTATCTCAAAAATAGAGATTGACATTTTAGTATTTCAAATTTGAAAAAAAAAATTTTCATTGCAGCATTAACCCAACATTAACCTTCCCAACGTTGTTGGAAACTGATTGAGGCATGAACCAGTAGGGCAGATGACTTTTGAGTAACCTTGGTGAAGGTCGATCTTTTAATGACTTCAAACCAGGGTAAGGATATTCAATGTATGGAAATCTATCCTCGATATTTGAGTGTCGATCTGTTGAGATGGTTGATTGGAGGGCTAATATTTGGGTCACTATTTCCTGCACCCATGTTGTACCTACACTGAGAAGGTTCAGTAGTTATAACTGTTAATTAAAAAAAAAAAATTTTAAATTAGGTCCAAACTATATTCATAAAGCTAAATTGGGATAACAACTGAAATTTTCTATTTGTGATCTTCTGATTTAGTTGTTGATAGGAGAGCCATTGATATCAGAAATTAAAATTATCAAAGAACTCAATCATTTTTAGTTTAATCAATTGCAATTTAAAAAAAAAAAGACGAATAAATTTAATATAAATTACATATTTCAGCTAAATAAAATTATCAAAAACCTGATTTGGGAAAACTGACGACTAAAATGTCGTCGTTTTTCATCTGAAAGCGTCCAATGGCATCCAACAACTCCAAGTTTGCAAACATGTACTCTGGCAGCCAAGTACCATCTACCTGAATCAGATGGCCGGTTCTTGCAATGTTCACATCTCTGTGCACTTTCGGTTTTTCAAAATTTGAATTCTCAAAATTTGTGAGGACATCTTTGGGGGAAAATCTGTCCAATGCATAGGTTAGCACTAGCACTGAACCTACTCCTAACACAAGAACTTTGGAGTCACACTTAAATAAATTTAAATTTGATAGTTTATAGGAATAATTTACAAATCGCTTGACGATTGCTTTAAAATAACTTCTAATAAACATTTTAAATAATTAAAGATTTAGTAAGAAATAATAAAACAGGAAAAATGCCAGAAAAAAATTACACACTTAAGTTTACTTTTAAAACTGAAAAAAACTATAAAAGATTTAAAAGTAAATTTGATATAAACTGGAACCAAATGTAGTCATATACGCATATAATTAGAATAAATATAACGGCCTTCGCTCATTTTTGACGGTCGAACAAGGAGCTTACATCCGGAGGAAAATTGGAGAGCGATTTTTTATCGCCCAAGTCAAAAGTTACGATCGTATAGTTACTAATTTCGGAAAATTGCTTTTATTTAAAATTTCAAAATGTTTTAAAAGGTACTAGATGCTGTTTTAGGATAGATATTGCTGTATGACGGTTAAGTATCTTTTTGCATTTTAAATAAAAAAAATTTTTTGTGAACCACCAACAACACTTAACTCATTAATTGTAACAACACTAAACGACGACTAATTAGTAATTAAATTACTAAACTCTAATAATTAAGCTAAAACTAAACTCTACTGATTCTAATTACTAATTGAAATAAATAACAGATAACACTAACGAACATTAACAGATTAGACTACTAGAAACTACCAACCACTACTGACTACACTACTACAGTTAACGACTAACAGCACTTGTTCCTAAGATCCAAAATTCTATTGCTTGATTGGTTTTAAAATTTTTATTTACAATGCTTAGGTCTGAGAATAAAAAATATACTAAATTAAATAAATAAATTTTAATTTATTATATTTTATGCACTTAAAATGTTGTGTTATTAATTATTATCATTAATTTATTAAATGCTGTGCATACATATGGCAAGTAAATAAAATAATTAAGCACAATCAAATTAATTTATATAGGCATGAGTATAATTTGGATAATAATAATTAAAAATATCGGTATCATTGAAAATGGATAAAGTCATAAATTGCTAAAAATAATAGTTCCAGTAAGATTTTGCCTTACACCTACATCTTTTTTCATTCTTATATTATAATAAATGTTTGTTATAAAATATATCAAGGATTGATTTCTCAATCCATGACTAGATTGAATGTCATGATCCTACAGTTCCAGAGGATCCCCATCACCATTAGTCAATAAGGTTTGTAGAAATCACCCCAGGCTAACCATCAATGTTTTGTAGCCACCTTTTAATGTAGTGTTAATAAAATGACATTGAGAATAGTTATTTAAAACAATCTTATTAAAATTATTGAACACGTATGACAAGATTACTTTCTTAATGTCCTAGTGTGAGGAAGATGTAAGCCATTTGTCCAAAGATAATCATATACCTTATGCCCATACAAATGCAGTGTCAACGCGAATGATTTTTGATCAGAGTCATATGTTCTAATTTTTTTAAACTTTTCCAGAAATTTTTCTGTTCATTTATTTGTTACATTAAATACTTGATGTGTATTTCATATAAAAACTTGATTATGCCAATTTAGTTAACTTGTTAAGCATTAATATAAAATTGACTCTACTTGTAATGGTGATTGGTATGATGATGATGATCCCAGTCCTAAGCAGGGTTTATTATTCACAATGTCATTATGCCCTTTCTAAGTTTTAATAAAATACATGGAATATTGGTGAATGCATTTTATATTTTTTGTATAGATAAGAATGTTGCAATGTACAATGATGATGTGAATTGCTTCCTTGTGTAACTGATGACATATAAATATAACTAACTTGAAAACATGGGAATGCTTTCTTCAGCATTACCTTCCTTTCTCCATCATAACCCTTATAATCTTTATTACAGAAATGGTCACTGCATATTCTTGCATTTTTTGATGGAAGCTATTTGAAATCATTTATTTCCTGTCTGATGCACTTAATCCAATCGTTTTGCATTTTTACATTTTGAAAAAATCTGAAATTTTATAAACTGTTACAGAAACTTGTGCATTTCTTAAGTATTGCTTTCAATAATAAAATGGTAATCCATGATAGCATTATAAATTATAATAGTCTATAAAATAAAATATATGTAATTGTAAAACAAAATAGTTCTATTCAATGAGTATAGGGATATTGTTACATTTATTTTAGTGTGAAGTTAATTTGAAAATAAACCTGTGAAAAGATGCATCAGAAATTTTCTCATTTCTATTTATTATTAATGCAATTTTTAATGCAACAGGTAGGCATGTTTGTGTATAGCTACGAAAATGAAAATTTACTTAAAAACTAAATTATTGTATCTGACACGAAAATTAGTACAGAAACAAAAACAAGAATAAATGACAATATAAAAATTTAAACATTGATTGAAAGAGTTTATTCTAATTATATTGGTATGGGCAATTCGTTGCGAAATCGTTGGAGGAAATGGTGTCAACAGTAGTTATTTTACTGCATGGTAGTTAATCAGCCGGTATGAAGGTTATATTCAATTCCTATCAAATAAATTTGACAAAATATCATACACAGGCAGAACTAAATAAAGAAATAGATAGATATATATACACGTAGTTATAATACATTTATAATGTTGTATTTACACATTCAAATTGTACAATTGTGTAATGGTGTAGTCTCAAATTATTGTGAATTTTCTCAGAAAATTGTAAACGTTTTACTACACTATATATACTAGTTATTTTTATCAACAATTTAAAAATTTCATCAATAATTAAAAAAAATTTCAAATTGATTTCATTGTGATATCGATAATGACTTTTGTAACATGACTGATTAAAAAGCATCAAAGAAAGTTAAAATAGGATGGAAAATTTGTTTGTAGGTGGTTTGAATGTTTGTAGGTGGTATTTTTTTAATTTTAGGTGGGTTCTTTAACGGTTGCTCATACATACATACATACATCATGTTTGTTTGTGTGGTAGTATTTTATGTTCTGTTTTACTCCTTTTTCTCTTTTTTCATGAGTCTTGAGTTAAGTTAATGAAGCATAGGTAGGTGAGGTAAAAATTAATTTATCATATAGGTAGGCTAGGGCATAAGGTAATTTAGTTACATAGGTAGGTTAGGGACTCCTATTCTTTTACTCTACTTGATGGTGTGATTTTTGTTTTGTGTTTTGTTTCACATCATACATTCAGCAGGTACGCGGTGGTTCCTGGTTTTAGTGGGATTTTTATTGATTGAATGTGGTAGTATGCATGGTTATATAGAGTTATATAGAGCATAAATCCTATATAGATACCTTTCTTTGCTCTTCTTTTCTCTTTTCTTTGCCGACCGGTCGGTTTCTTTGCGGTTATTTTCATTTAAATTGAATAAATAAGATTTTACCATTCATTTAGGTTTTTCAGGTTCATTTACCCAGGTTGAAGCTTCCAGAGGAGTTCATTGTGGACGATCAGAATGGTTGTGATATCACGCTACGTTCGTTCATTCGGTGGCAAAAAATGCATGCCCTGCTGGGGTACGTTTTACGGTTTCTTTGCGGTTCTTTTTTTGCCAGTTGGCTGGCTTTTCCGGCGGAATTCACCGCGGCTCGTTTTTCTATTTTCATTTAAATTAGTCAAATAAATAAGATTTTTCCATTTCATCCATTTTATTCAGGTTGAAGCTTCCAAAGGAATTCATCGTGGAAGATGTCAGGCTACGTTCGTTCATTCAGTGGCAAAGATACGCCTGGCTGGGATACGTTTAATTCTTTTTTCTCTGTTTTTCTCTGTAATTTAATATTAAGTAAGAATGCTCACACGCACACGCACATACACACAATTACATTAAGTAGCTATATAGGTAGGTTAGATAGGCATAATTTTAATTGTAGGTAGGATAGATAGGAAGCATCCAACACTAATGTTGTTGGATAGGTAGGCAGCGTAAGTTTATCTCTTCTATTTTTTCTCGCACCCACATTACACGCATCAGCGTATTATACACACACACACACAAATACATACATAAACACATATTAGTATTTGAGCGTTATTTTATTTTCATTACACATTCTAATTTATTATTACTAAGGTTGAGAGTAATTTAATTTCATAGGTAGTTAAAAGCAATAATTTAATTCTAGGAACAATCTTGTAATTTAAATTAAATAAACGCTGTAAGTGTATCGAGAGGTATGTTAGTTATTAAGTTTTACATTATTATTATTAGGTTGGAGCCCAAGGCATTACGTAGGTGGTGGGGTGGGTGCCGAAAGGCCAATGAATTGGGCTCTTGAGTTTTGTAATTTTAGGTAAGCTAGGGCCATAATGTAATGAATAGGTAAGTTAAGGCTACGTTGTAACACACACTCATTAATAGATTTAGGGTTTAAGTTTTATATTATTACTAAGTTGGAGCCCAAGGCATTACGTAGGTGGTGGGGTGGGTGCCGATTGGCAAATGAATTGGGCTCTTGAGTTTTTTTGTAATTTTAGGTAAACTAGGGCTTAATTGTAATGAATAGGTAAGTTGAGGGTACGATAGCCGATAGACTCTGAATTTCGAAGTCTGTTGTCAGAGGTAAGCCTTGGTGGCCAGTGGTGTACCGGCAATGGTTTACTATCCGGACGGCAATGGTTTACTATCTGCACGGTAATGATTTACCATGCGGCACGGCCATAGTCTACTACCCGCACGGCTTCCGGACGGCAAATGGTTTACTATCCGCACGGCAATAGTCTACTATCCGCACGGCAATGGTTTTCTATCCGGTGCCCTGGCTGTCGGTGAACCTCTGTGCAAGGAGGAAGAATGAAGGGGGACTTTCGACTATCGTACCATTAACAATTTAATATAGATTAGTTAAGGTAATTGAATAGGTAGATAGGATTATTTTTATTAAGCAATTTGAGATGCAGGCACCGCTAAGCTTTCTGATGAGAATCTACTCTTTCTCTATCTTTCTCCATCAACACGGGCTGTGTTTCAACAACAACCTCGAAGAGGACTGGCAGCAGTTTTGGAGAACAACGTAGGAACCGGACCGCATTCAACATTCTGCCTTTGTCGAATGGACGACGGTAAGTTTTTTTTACATTTTACTTTATTATTTTAAAATTTTATTTATTTGACATTATTTTCATTTTATAACTTAATTTTTTTTGCTTCTAAGATTCTAACATTCATTTACTACTACGCAAATAAAAAAATTTTGTTTACAGAATGATGAGAGGTGGGCAGTGGTGGGAGTCAGCACGTTTTAGATGGGTGTCTCATGATGATTTACATATGATGATGGTGGTGTAGGAAGAATCAGCTCGTTGGCTGTTCGACTGACACTCTGAAGTTCGGATGGTATTTTGTGTGCCGACCAAATGGTGGTGGTCGGTGCAATGGAAAGTACAGTAACGACGATTTTTGAAGTAAGGTTTAATTTCGTTTTTTATTTTTCTCATTCGTTCATTTTATCACTCAACCTTTTAAATTATTCTTGTATTAATTGATTCGTTAATTCATTCTATTCATTAATTGAATCATTGATTTATTAATTAATTCATTCATTCACTCATTCATTCAACCAATTATTCAATCATTCAGTTAAATATTTATTCGTTCGTTCCTTTGTTTCTTGATTTACTACTTCGCTAATTAATAAAAACTTGTCTACAGAATGATGAGAGGTGGGCTGTGGTGGGCGTCAGCACGTTTCAGATGGTGGTCTCATGATGGTCGTTCCAATGACAAATCGAAGATAATGTTAAAGGTAAATTTGTTTTTGTCTCATTGTACCTTTGAAAGTACTCGAATTTGAACAAATATTGAACGTTATCTCAAAAAGATAAGTTGCCTATTTTTTCCAATTGCTTGTTTTTTATTTTAGTGAATTAATTTTTTTTCAATTTATTTTTCAGTATCCGGTCAAATTCATTCCATCGATGCGTGTCAGATGATGGTCGGTGCAATGGAGGTTCGTTGGTAGTGAGTGAAGTTTCTGGAGAGTGCGCGCCCGCACATTTACATACACACACATCAATACAACACATACATACACAACAACCATTCATTCGGTGTCGTTGTTGCTATGTTTCTCTTCAACTTTATATTTTCTTTACCGTGAACCGGGCTTTAATTTAATTCAGGGACTGAGATGAGTTAAACAATTGTAGGTAGGCTAGGGCTTAACATTAGTTAACAAGCTTCAAGTAAAATAAAAACGCTAAAATATGTTAAATAAAATACTTGAAACATCTAAAACGAGAAATACAAATTTGTAGGTAAGTGAGTTGAGTCAATGTTTATAAGTAAGCTAGGGCCCTGAGAGTAATTTTATTATAGGTAGGTGACTGACTTATTCTTGCGACTTCTTACTAGTTTTGTGTGATGTGTTTGTTTTCGCTTCACAACACCACAACAACAAAACAAACTACATTTCATTCTCGTCGTCGCCTTAAATTGTACCTTTTTGAACAATCTTTTTAATAATGTCTATTTATTTATTCATTAAATGTTGACTGGTTTCTAGTTTTTTTAAATTGGTTATATAATTTTTGGATATTTCTTGATTTACTTTGTATATATGCATGTATAAATTATTTCTGTTTAGTATGTTGATTTAGTCATTATGATATGTTGTGAACTGTTCTTACTAAATGTTCATGTTACGTGGTTTATTATCCTTCGAGAACTTCTGAGGAGTGTGTATGATAATAATAATAATGGATAATAATTATTTTTATCGGTCGATATTTTGTTATATTTGTTTATTTAAAATACGAATTTTAAATAAAATTGACATTTTAAAATTTTAATTAACCGTCACTTTTCATTTTTGAATGAATTCAAATAAAAGCAACTACTGTGTTTTTCTTTCTTTAGTAAAATCTCGAAATTGTTTGTAGGTCTGTACGGTTAACTGTTTGTTCGAGTTTTTTTATTTATTTTTGTTTTTATTTTTGTTTATTTGGTTCATTCAATTTAGTTGATTGATTGATCGGTTGATTGATCGGTTGGTTGATTGATTGACTGACTGACTGGCTGGCTGGCTGGCTGGCTGACTGACCGACCGACCGACTGATTGTTTGATTGATTTATCTCAGTATTGTATACATGAGAAAAAATCCGATTAAGCCAACCTACGGCTTCAGAAAGCCACTGTTTTTCACCTGACAAAAGCAATTTCTATATTTATACTGACAAAAATAATTGTGATATGAATATATTGATTTATTTAAAGCATTATATGTACAAAAAAGTGCTAGCGTAAGAGTTCTATGAAACTGCCACTGCTGTAAGCCAACGTATGATTTCAGCAGCCAGTTTCTTATGAGCACCAGCAGAATGTAAAATATTATTGAATATAATGAAGATAGTTGTTCAAATAACAATTTTGATTTATTTAGGCCGTTTATTTCATAAGCAAACCAATTTTAACATGATCGAATAGTGTAAAAAAAAAAGGGTGAC